CGCTACAGCCCACGGATACCAGTCTGTAATCAGACTTTTCGTACTCACACACGATATACAGGTGAATGCTCTAGTAAGATGCCAGGAATTTGAATGCTGTTTCTGAATCGTGTTCCTGCATTGATAGGTATTGTGAAAGAAATGTTGGTAGATATACACATCAGCCAAGCTCAGCCGTATTTGTTAATTAAGAGTTCTGTTGCATGAAGAAATAATGCAGGTTGAATTATTTAATAGGCAGGTTGCATGGTTGCCATAGTAACGCTTGCCACCACACTGACTACATTACACAAACTCTATTCATGGTTAAAGAGCTCTTGCGCTCAAGTGCGAAACTTTAATAAGACCAGAACCAAATTAACGAAAATTTAAGTATTGAAGATTATACGGCGTCATAACCCAGGAGCAGAAGCAGTTCTGCTTATTGTTATTTTTTCTCTTTGTATTTGCCCATCTTTTGAAATTAATTCAATTATGCTGTGCCTTTAAAAGTTTCACAGACTTACTAAGGTTAATGATTTTATGCGCGTTGGGGGTTGTGTGGCCAAGGCATATAAACCTCACGTGACATGTGGATCTTGCACTAACGTTAAGTTGCAGTAACAGTATTTACAGTTGCCCATTTAGCTGCTGAAAATGTAGCAATAACCGATCTTTGAAGAATATGTAGGCAACTGCAAACACGAATATTGACATTATTACGATATAAGCCTATACAGGCCTACACAGAGTTTGATGCTTTTGTGTTTGGCCTGACATGGAAGGTAACTTAAATGGCCGCTGATTTCGTGATAAGCGACGTACCGCGAATTGAATTTGAGGGGGTATTTTGAGCGACGCCTTATTTATGATCTGTTTTAGATGCATATTACAGATTATTGGATTTCAGTGCATGCATTGTGTTATGAATTCATACTAGAAAGTTTTGTTAAGGTTTCGCCTTTTGTTTTAAGAAATTTAAATAAGATAAAACATATGGTGTGATGTGGTATATGACGTGTGAACTAAAACGAGGTAGAAAGGAAGGGTGGAAGGACCATGCAGAGAGATGTGGAAGGGAAAGAATAATGGGATAAAATGGCAAGAACATGGAGTACGTACGAAAAGGAATACGGCAAGGAAGAAAGGACTTCGTGTGATGTTAATGTAATAAACTGGAACTTAACTACGAAATTACATTAGCGAGTTTCATATATGACGACTTCATTTTGATGACGATGTTAGACTCGGAGAGGCTATTGCCTTATTACTCTTTTTGGCCCGTTTACCACGGCTAACCCATAAATTTAAATGTTCCAGCATAGTATGACCCGTCAAAGGTGACGGGAATTATTAACGTCTTTCTGTTGAACAGCCATACATTTATTCCCGCATTATATTTGCAAATTACATTGGAAGTACAAAATTCATAACATTTCTTTTTAAGTAAATTTAAATTGAAATGTCTTCACCAAATGCACCGTCACAAAACTGACCGCCTGACTCCAAATTCCAGACCCCTTCCAAACGCAGACCTCGCCAGACACCACCATAGGCGCCACAGTGGCTTCGTTTGCACTTCTTGCTGCCAGAGCCGTCACCATCAGAAATTATTTCTAGATTCTTACGCGTCGCTCGTACAGTTACGCAAGCTTGACGGACGTATTAGGGGTAGATTATCACCGAACCTCAGTTCATGGCGCCTTACAGTCTGATGTTTTTTTTCTTTTTGTAGGGCGGTGACGTTCTTCAAGAAACGATAACTGCAAACGTGAGTGAGGACGTCGTTACCCTGGAGTTCCAGCGCTCTGATGGAACTCTTATTACTCAGCTCGTCGACTTTAGAAATGTGAGTATTGTTGTTTTTTGTAGTAGTTTTCACGTTGCATTGTCTCCATCCTGGTGCTGATTTTTTGATAAAACATGTGATTTGTAGGCCTATACGCTGTTTGCACAAAGAGTGTAAAATAAACGCAGCATGGGGTAACATGGTTTCTGTTCGTCTGTATGTTTCATCTCCGAAACTTCTCGACGGATTTAGATTAAATTTCATATTGGGTCATACACTAATACAGTAATAATGTAATTTTGACCTATGTGCGTCCAATATAATCCCTCCAAAGCTGTATTGAACTTTATCGTTGTTGTCAAAAACGGCTTATGGTACTAAAACCAATGTGTACGTGATAAGTAAAATATATTTGTCATTAACATCAATGTTGTGGATATTTTTCGATCGAATCAATATTCAACGAGAGAGAACGATAGTTAATTGTCGACTCTGCAGAGTTATTTGTAGCGAGATATCAATGTTGTGTTGGAGTACATATTTTCACGCTTGTCGAATTGCGAGTTCAGATCGCGGTTGTCTGGGTAGTAGCGTAGAGTACTCTTGAGGGACGTCACAGTCGTTTCGGAGGAACGACTAGCTTCCACCATCTTTCCTGAAATAAGTTCTCCCGAAACGTTGGCATCTACCTACATCAGATCAGATCACAATCTGAATGTTTTAATTAAATCTGGAAGGAGATAATTCATAAGGTGGAGTCGTTTGTCGTTTTGTATGTCTACAGGTTTTACTTCCGGAATTCTATGAAATTCGAAGTTGTCGATTGATTTTAAATTTGTTCCATAACTTGATCGAACATTTAAATTTTCTCAAAAACAGCTTAACGAAATACAAAAATGAATCTGACCGTGAGAATCATGTATGTAGTGGGGCGAGTTGCCAACAGTGGATTTGTGTCTGTGATAAATGGACAAGGCCAGTGAGTGCGTAAAGCTGCAAAGGACACGCGTGTGATGTAGGCGTGTGTGTGTGCTCCAGTAGAGTACGCCCTTTCGCTGTGATTTCAAAGAGTTTGTAAATGCAATTGCTGTTGAAATTCGTGCTTTGGTTTGTGGCAGCCGGAGAGCCCAAAGTTAACATTCGATTCACGAACTTCTGCCGTTGTTATTTTCACATCAACCAGAGCTGTTTTCTCCCTCCATTTGTTGTTTATGTAATTTATTATTACTGTTTACTTATTGTTTCTTATATACGTTCTTCTATGCAGTAAAATATACGTTCTGTTGCTCATTTGTCTCCCTTGCTATTTGTTTCCTTTACACTTGGATTCAGGATATTCTTTGAACCAAGAGCGTATAGTTAATTCGTGTTATGAAGATCGTGTGTTCTGTATGCATTTTTTCCCGCAGAGGCTCCAAATGATCGGATTTCGATTACATTTAGCGTTTTGGGTCCAGCGCATTTAATTTTTGGATCGTATCGATACAGTACATGCCTAACTATACACAGGGCTCAAAAATAGAACTTAATCGATTTTCTTAAAAACGGTTTACCGTGAAATATGTTTCTGCAATACATAGAGCCGAGACCCAATTAAATTATGTGACATTTACTTGAATCAATGTTCTTAACAAGTGATTTCTGGAAGTCGCCGAGTTGTATGTAAATATCGTTATGTGCATTACGCATGGTTTATGAATTCCTAAAACTTTTATTTGACGTATCTTACACAAATACGTAGCCAACTCCGACATAATACATACAGGGTGGGCAGAGTAAAAGGTTAGCGAACTGGACTTTCGTCCGCAACGTTAAGATTGTTTCTATTTTGGGCTTTCCTGTATTTGGCTGTTATATTTAATACTGTACATGTATAAGTTTAGGTAATCTGTTTGTGTAATATTTTTCATTTTTATTTCATTATTATTGTATGTATTATAAGTGTTTGCCTGTTGTTGGCTTCTTGGTGCTGTTGTCAAACACTTAAATAAATGAATTGAATTGAATTGAGTTGCTTTAATTGTTGTTGTAGTTCTGGACTGACATATCAGTTCATGTTCTCAGTGCGCAAACAAGGAAGTTCGGTTAATACTACTTCTCTCTACGACGTGTGTAGATTCCTGAAGAATGTTGTGATCAAGACACGTTGAAGAGAATGAAACAAAATATATGCCAATTTTTATATAACATGTTGAATATCCAGTTTATGCAAATCTACATCAGGACTCAAAAGAATTCGTGTTAATTTAGATCCTAAAGTAAGAACCGTTGGAATTAATCGGAGCATTATTAGTTGCACAACGCAAATTCCACATATAAAGGCTGGTTAGAATGCGTCAGAATATTCAAATAGGTTATGTAGACGCTATTTGAAGTTCAGTTACACCCTGAAGAAAAAACAGAACTTTAAAGAAATTAAAGTGAATAAATGTTACACTTAGCAGTACTGAAATAACACAAGAAGCGTGTATGATGTTTCAGCAGAATCTATCAAGAGATTAAAAATACACGCAGGCTAAACTCTCTATTCCCTTAAGTAAAATGCCTCTTAACGCGAGCCGAGGTAAAGCGGAATGAAAATGGCTTTCACTCTGCTCTGACGACCGTGTTCTTTTGTAGTATTATTGGTCAATGTAAATAGAAATGGATGAATTAGTGTGTGAAGGAATGAATTCATGATTTCGTGTAATGATTAGTGAAGCAGACGGAAAATTCTTTACAAAACGCGGTGTGAAGGAAGCTTCATCTTCCACAAAACACACGTTATCTAACGAAATGTCAAGTCTCGGGCCTATATAAATAATTTAACTGAATACATTGAAGTTATTGTTATATATAGAGATAAAGCCATTCAGCTTGGTAAGAACTCTGCCGTGTGGACGGAGGACAAACATGGAAGCGATGTAATTTAATTTCATAACGCGTCCTTTACACAAATATTTAATGTACAAAAAATGAACTGGCAAGGTGAAACGACAGGAATCGCTCATATGAATAAAAAGTCGTAACATGAGAGCATTACGATATGAAAAACCACTCTTTTCACTTGATAACGTAAGTAAATTGCCTTGCTAGATAAACAGACACTGAGTTTAATTCGCAACGTCATTTTCACGTCCGTGAAATCGCTTGTCTGGCCGAAGTCCCCGTGGGAATGGGGGAAGACAACATGGATGCAACGCACACCGGACCAATTTCCGTAATGGCGTAATCACCCACACCACTCCAAGCTGCCATGTCATTTCATTCCTCATGGAAACCGCAAGCCTCTATTTTGCCTCTTTCTCACAACAGCTTCAGCATGAAGATAATTGCAGACCGTGGAAGAGCATCACAAACAAACACAGAAAGGGTTTCAGCGCCACAAGCTTCAGTTCACAATAACTTGTGTCATATAAATGGGGTCTCCAGGTTTCTTTCCAGTAATTCAGTTGCGTTATCTTACATTTTCTTTGTTATTTGACTTCTTTTTATTATGTCCCTGTAACTTCTCATGAAACATGGAGCTTATCTAGAAGAGACCACAGCAGTGCATCTCGGCACGTCACCGCCGCTGCGCTGTGTTTCATCGCATTTCTCGACAGCCATGTTTCACAGTTTTCTTTGACTACAGCGGATTTTGTTCTTCCATGTTGTATTTTTCGCTATCCGCATACAAACCAGGACCGTGTGAAGTTATGGACGGCAAAGCCTGTCTAAACCGGTACATGGATTTAGTCTGTGTTTTACCGTAGCATATTGGACAGGCCTAATTTGTCTTAATAAAGAAAAAAAGCATAGCATGTAGAAACGGGAAGGAAAGATATGATATGTAAGATTTGAGGTTTTCACAGCGGTGAGTATGAAGATTTCTGTTTCCTGGGTTCTTGCGCTGTGTAGTCTGGTCGATGTTTACGAACGATTCTTTGCCCTGATGACAGAGGCAGTATGACCTCTGAAACGTTTGTTAACATCGACCAGACTACACGGCGCAACAACCCAGAAGACAGAAATCTTCATCGCCCTGATGACGGAGGCAGTATGACCTCTGAATCGTTCATAAACATCGACCAGACTACACAGCGCAACAACCCAGAAGACAGAAATCTTCAAAGATATGATATGTTTTCTCTTATGTAACCGTGTTCAATACTCTTCTTTGTGGAATCTGTGGAGGAACATTAGTGTCCCAGATGGAATACATTTAAACATGGCCGTGGACATGAAATTTGCGTATTAATTTAAGGTTCGTCTGGAAAGGTAGATAAATAAACATACATACATACATTAAAATTAAATCCGTGGCGTAACAGCCCTATGAGAGCCAAAGCCGACTAGCTTGACTGCTGGCCTCACGTTCACACGCCTAAGCAGAGGTGAACGATCATCCAACCAGATACAGGATGACGTGTGGTCAGCACGACGAACCCCCAGCCATTGCTAGTTTTCATGACCGGTACATACATATACGAAAAAAGAGAAAAAGGCAGTAAATGGAAGAATATGAAAATGTGCGTGCTGTTCAGAAACTCTTTATCATCTGCATGTATTTATCATTGTGGTATATATTACCCAGTGTTTCATCGTAACTGGAGCACGTACCTTTGTTTAGGTCTGTTCGTTTATGTACGCCTATAGTCGACCGCGATGTTCCGTATTAGGCTCAAACAGATTTTGAGTGACCGGAAGATACCGTAGCAGAGTCCTTGGCAAATCGGTGTGTTGAAGTAACATTGTTACTCAGAGCCGTCTATTATGTTCATATATCCATTAAGTCAAAAGCGTTAGGTAGGCTATAACATGGTGCTGAAATAAGTTTTCATTACAGATGGAGTAATCACTCACCCTCGTCTGCACATTTCTGCCCGTCTCTTCTATCAACTTTTCATCATTTCCTTTCATTATTGTATGAAACTCGTCGCGAGGCGCTCAACTCAGATCCATGATAGACAGACGCTAATTGACATTTATTAGTAACTTGAGCCAGGAATACCACCCGTTGTGTTCCTGTGTTGTGCACATTCCTTTGTGAGCTCGCGTTTCTAAGAACACTTTTTATGTATTTTATTGAAATAGCATGT